TGACCAGTTATTAGCACTTAAATGGGTATTCAGAAAATTATAATTAAACTTATTTACAGAAAAGTATAAATTAATGCTATAATTAATTACAGATTAGAGATAACATACATTTATTTGGTGGGGATAGAGATCAGATTACTATATTTGGTCAGAGCGCCGGCAGTTGGTCGGTGTCCGCACATATAGTCTCTCCACTATCTAAGGGTCTATTCAAGAGGGCTATTATGGAGAGCGGGGCCCATATGTATAACAAGGACAGGGATGTGATCAGTAAACCGGAGGCCTTAGCGAGTGCCCAGAAATTGGCCGAACAATTAAAATGCAATACAACTGAACAATGGATACAATGTTTACGAGAAGTGGACGCAAAGGAACTCTTAAAATACGAGGCATCAATAACATTTCCGGTGTTGGGCACCGAATATCTTCCTATTTCTGAACAAAAGGCATTTGAGACCAAAAAGTTTAATTCCGGTTAAAATAACTTTAAGTTTATTATAAGTAACAGACTATTAAATATATATATTTTAATAGATATTGATTTAATGGCCGGAATGACATCAGATGAGGCCTCGGGTGTTATAAGCCGTACCTTCCCCGACGTACACAACCTAACTGTCGAGGGGTTCAAGTTATTGGTGTCGACTATCAGTCAGACATATCATGGATTAGACGCCGAAAATGTGACACAATTATATCTCAAGAATATTGACCCAAAAGATCCCGGTGCCATTGTGCGGGCTTTCGAGGTGTTCCTTGGTGATTTGGCATTTAAATGCCCCACGTATTTGTTTGCTAAACAATTTGCCACAAATGCACCTAGCAAAAATGTGTACTCATATGAGTTGACGTTTGAAAGTCAATTCATGACTAATGCCACTGGATGTCCACCTGGAATAGTATGTCATAGCGCTGACATACCATTTGTATTTGGGAGACCTTTCATTAATCCGGATCTATTCAGTCATGAAGAGACTGTTTTCAGTAGAGATATCATGAAAATGTGGACCAATTTTGCTAAAACTG